AAAATTTATTTTTCGATACCACAGACAACTCCTAATTATAAGGATGGACCGCCTCCGTGTTTTGAAACCAAGAATGATACAGACACTACTTTTATCAACCACCTTATTTACACCGTCATTGAGTGAAATCAATGGAAACACTAATCCAATAGTTTACATTGATGTGGTACACAAAAATAGTACATAGAGGTGATGAGTTTAACATTGTTAAGAACTTCTCAAGATGGGTGTGAGGACATTGAATATGGTGTAGAAGACTATGGTCTCAAAATTAGTACCGTATCAAAATTTATAATTCATTACATTTTTTAGAAATTACAATTGTAAAACACATGATCGATATTAAAATCTTATGTACAATTATGAGAGTTATAACTTTTAAAAGTAATTGTTATAATTATAAATATAATCTTTCAAGGTCAAGTTGCATATCAACGAGTCTTTGGTTTAATGATATTCTTTACCTTGTGAAAGCTTTGTTTTCTTAAGGTCAAGGGTTCAAGTTCTCTTCCCTCTCTTCCCATCTCCCAAAAAATAAAAAAACAAAGGTCAAGTTGCATATTTTAAAAGTGAAATTGCAACNCTTTTAAAAGTAATTGTTATAATTATAAATATAATCTTTCAAGGTCAAGTTGCATATTAACGGGTCTTTGGTTTAATGATATTCTTTACCTTGTGAAAACTTTGTTTTCTTAAGATCAAGGGTTCAAGTTCTCTTCCCTCTCTTCCCATCTCCCAAAAAATAAAAAAACAAAGGTCAAGTTACATATTTTAAAAGTGAAATTGCAATTAATAAAAGGGTACTCATGATCAAACATTAATTACCATAAGAAATTGTAACTTTAATTTTAAAAGATATAATTTGACCTCCAAAAATAATAACTTTTGAAAAGCCACTAATTTTTTTTTGATATCGTAAAATTACCCCGTAACTTATATGTGAGTCACATAATATTTTATTACCTTTGACTCCCACCTTTTGTTGAGTTTTGAAAATCTTTATTTTTTGCTAAACTATGTCCTTACATTATGAATAGGCATTATATAATTTGAAAAGACAATCTAACTATGTTCAATAATTTCAATAAAAAATAACGGAACATGTAAAACCTAATTCACGTGGAGACATTGGACACAAAAAACAAAAACTGTCTAAAACCTAATTTTGGAAGTTGTAAAACAGTTGATTGACGGCCGTCTATCAATGTCTTCGTAACAAACAAAAAAAGTACCAGACATGTGTAACATGCATGAATTCCCATAGTATGTAGGCAATTCTTTAGTAAACTAGCAAGGTGGGTAAAAAAAAGTCAAGAAGAAATCACGGCTAGTTAAACCCAGTTGAAACACATCAAATACAATAATCAAAAGTTAGTTTGTAGATAATTTTTCAAAAATAAAAAATAAAAAATACGAGATAGTATATTCGGTCAATAAGTGAAATCCATATATTGAAAGAAAATGTATAAATGTACATCCATATACAAAAAAATCCAAACAGAACTAAAAAAAAGAAAAACAAAAGGAAATGAGATGGTAGTTTTTCTTGATCGAAACAGAAGAACAACCATCCTCTAATCAAAAGACAAGGTTGTTGGTAGCAGGGGTGGCTTGATATGTTTTAAGGTCTAAAGCTATAAATTTAATTGAGACTTTTTTTTAATTTTTTTTTTAATAATAGAGTAAATTTTTTGATATTTAATTTTTTTTCCTGGATGCATATTAATTGTTTAGTATTCGTATTGAAGTTTTTCTAAGATATCTTTTTTTATTGATAGTATAACTAATTGACTTAATTTTTAAAATAAATAAAAAATTTCAAAACTTTAAAATTCAAAGATTATTTGATAGTTTATGTTGTATTGTCATTGACAATCTTATAAAATTATTTTTCTATGAATTAGACATTACTCATAGAATATATGTTTGACTAAATTTTTTAAGATTTTGATAAAAATAATAATATTACATAGACCTTATTAGATTGACGATAAATTCTATTATTAGTTAGGACCCACTATCAATTCCACAGCTATAATCCATCAGCTATAATATATATATATATAAATTTTTTCTTGTACTATGTTATTGTGTGAGATTAATGAATTATATTTTTGGGCTCAAAATCAGTCTAGAATTTTTTTGTTATTATAAAATTATTTTTAATGAATTAAAATTGACTTTGGCTATATTTATAAATTTTTTAAATTTTGGGCCATCTTTATTGGTGGCCTAAAGCCACCGCTTCTTTTTCTCCACTATTGGGCGGGCCTTGGTTGGTACTCTCCATTGTCATCCACAAGTTTTCGGTTGATATCTGATATCCTTTAGCCATGCTTGTTTAAGCCGAATGCAATCCACCACTAACAGGGTGTCAATCTTGTCGTTTCGTCTCATTTTTGTATCGTGTTACGTTTGATCGTATTATTTTCATGTCGTATCATTTCGGTATATGTCAGGTTCTTGTCATTATTGGTGTTAATAAAAAATTATTTAATTTGACAACAATTAATATAATACTATTTAAAAAATTATAAATTCTTATTTTCTATCTACAATACTTGTTAAATAATTATTTTTTATCTACAGTATCCATTAATCATGTTATTTGTGTTGAACCTTAATTTGATCCATTGATTACTTATGTCAACTAATCGTGTTATTTTCGGATTCGTAATGTCAACTAATTATATGTGTAATTAAATTAAATAATAAATTAGATGACAAATAATAAGTCCATATTTTCATTAAATAATAAATACAAATTATTAATATATTCTATAAGTCTTTGACTATCGAATTATATTATAAAATTATTAATATTTATTTTTTAAAATAGATTTATTATATCGGTTATAATATTAATACAATATTATATACCAAAAAATAAAATATAACATACATTTTATCGTAGAATTCAATATGGTAATTCCATGTACATAATAATTTAACATGTATAGGACTTTATTTCTTTATATAAATATAGAAAATTGGATATAAGTGTACTACTAATAAATGAANTATATCGGTTATAATATTAATACAATATTATATACCAAAAAATAAAATATAACATACATTTTATCGTAGAATTCAATATGGTAATTCCATGTACATAATAATTTAACATGTATAGGACTTTACTTCTTTATATAAATATAGAAAATTGGATATAAGTGTACTACTAATAAATGAGTTCAAAAGAATTTAGAAATCCTTATAAAAGAGTTCAAAAAAAGTTGAAACTCAAATAGAAGTAAAAAAAACAAAAATTAAATAAAAATATATAGNATAGGACTTTACTTCTTTATATAAATATAGAAAATTGGATATAAGTGTACTACTAATAAATGAGTTCAAAAGAATTTAGAAATCCTTATAAAAGAGTTCAAAAAAAGTTGAAACTCAAATAGAAGTAAAAAAAACAAAAATTAAATAAAAATATATAGGTGTGTACAATTATTTTTATAATAATAATAATTAGGGATAAAATACATAATTAAAATNCTAATAAATGAGTTCAAAAGAATTTAGAAATCCTTATAAAAGAGTTCAAAAAAAGTTGAAACTCAAATAGAAGTAAAAAAAACAAAAATTAAATAAAAATATATAGGTGTGTACAATTATTTTTATAATAATAATAATTAGGGATAAAATACATAATTAAATAATAAANAAAAAAAGTTGAAACTCAAATAGAAGTAAAAAAAACAAAAATTAAATAAAAATATATAGGTGTGTACAATTATTTTTATAATAATAATAATTAGGGATAAAATACATAATTAAAATTTTTTCGAAGATACTGACATTTATAAATAAATTATAGATATAAATTTAGGATCTATCATAACATCTTATGATCCATTACAATATTTGTAATTAATCACGACCTTTATAATTGATTGAATAACATCAAGGGAGTTATAAACTTCTTTCTTAGAAGTTGTGACTTGATTTTTAAAGTTTTAATTGTTCCCTACCAAAATGTCTCTTGTAATTGCTATAGACTTACCGTTATTCAAACTGCAACTTTTAGACTTTTTTTATTAGAACTATATCACTGAATACTTTTTTACGTCAAATTTTTTAGATTTTAAAAGTATTATTCAAATATATTGGTACTCATAAGTTTTACAAATATTTTGGTGGGGAAAAATTTTAAAAAATCTTATAAGTTTTAAAATTACAAATATACATAAAAACAAAAAAAAAAATCAGAATTGCATCGAGAAACGAAATAAAACTACAAATAATAGTTTAAAATCCTACTCTAGACCTGTTAATTAATGCAGAATATTAAATCTAAAAGTTTCAATTGATTTGTTGATTATTAAGAGTACAGATGAATTATGAAAGAAAGATAAGTCTCCTCTGTAAGAAAGGTGGATGCAGTGCAGTTGTCTTGCCTTAAGCCTTAGTAGAAAAAACCGTAAACAAAATAACTAGAATCCTATAAAATTAGGAAACCACCAAAAAAAAAATGAAATTCTAATTGAACCAATAATTAAAATAAAATATTTTTTAATTAAATTACAAAATATAATAAAATATGACATTGACACTGTTTAAATAAAATAACAAAATTCTCGTCAACCGTATTGTATTTTATAGTACCATTTCTCCTTTTTGAACCAATAAAATGCNATAAAATATTTTTTAATTAAATTACAAAATATAATAAAATATGACATTGACACTGTTCAAATAAAATACCAAAATTCTCGTCAACCGTATTGTATTTTATAGTACCATTTCTCCTTTTTGAACCAATAAAATGCGACACATATGTTTATTATTTCGATTATCAATAGCTAGACTCAACAGAAGATCTATGGCCACAAATCATTTTTTCATAGGTTATCGAAATTATTTTGTCGTACCATAGTGTTATCTAACATCCTTGATATCTTTCTATATATAGGTCCAAGTCCTATGTTCTTTTTTCAGAAATTATCCAGGTTAGCATTGCAGTTGCAAACATTTCTGATACAGGTGAAATGGCATTCCAGCAGCTAATTGTTACCTCAGGCAGCACTCAAACATCTCAAGCTGAAAGACGGTCAGCAAATTATAAGCCTACTATTTGGAGTTATGATTTTGTGAAGTCCTTGAGGAGTGAATATAAGGTGACTCGTGATCAAGCCTTACTACTTACTACTTCATCGCTTGCATAAACGCATTTTCTTTTGCAAAATTTGCCCATGATTAGAGTATTGTACCTTGAATAACAAAATGGTATTGTTTCATCTATTTTTAATTCTATTGACTTGTAGGAAGAGATATATGCGAGGCAAGCTCATAAAATGAAAGATGAGGTGAAGTGCCTCATTAGTGGTGTTATGGACCCATTGGCCAAGCTTGAATTGATTGATATCATTCAAAGACTAGGGTTGAAATATCAGTTCGAGGCAGAAATAAAGAAAGCAATAGAAGTTATTTATAAAGATACTAATAATACGTGGTTAGTTGATAATCTCCACGCAACGGCCATCTGGTTTAGACTCCTAAGACAACATGGGTATGACGTACCCCAAGGTACATGTTACTTCCCACTTCCCAGTACATATCCTATTCTCAGTATACAAATGTAGAGGAAATAATATAGTATTTTCCGATTGAGAAAAAACTTGTTGTGTTAAGTATTAACAGTTTCTATATTTAACATTTGTGGGAAACAGATGTGTTTAAAAGGTTCAGGGATGAGACCGGTAATTTTAGGGCAAGCCTAAGTGAGGATGTGGAGGGGCTGTTGCATTTGTATGAAGCTTCTTTTTTGGGTTTTGAAGGTGAAAATATCATTGAGGAGGCTAAAACTTTCACAACCGAACATTTGAAAAATATCATAGGAGACATATCACCGACCTTGGCTAGAAAGGTAGCCCATGCTTTGGATATGCCCTTGCATTGGAGGTTCGCAAGATTGGAGGCTAGATGGTTCATCGACTCGTATGCACAAGAACAAAATATGAACCCTACTTTGATACAATTGGCTAAGTTTGATTACAACATGGTGCAATCCATTCACCGAAAAGAGGTCAGAAAATTAGCAAGGTATAATTATATCCGATGTTCCATAAATACGATGGATGACCTAGATTTGGAACCACCAATTTCATTATAGTTCATGATATGACATTCTGTAATAAAAATAAGTCAATAATCTTACTGTAACTCCTAACTTCTCAGTTGGTGGGTTGAAATGGGCTTGGACAAGATGAGCTTTACCAGAGACAGGCTAGTAGAACACTACTTTTGGAGCATGGGAATACTATTTGAACCTGAGTATGGACCATTTCGATATATGGGGACAAAGGTTATTTGTTTTGTAACTGTTATAGATGACATATATGATGTATATGGCTCACTGGAAGAATTGGAGCTATTCACCGATTTTGTTTACAGGTTTGAATGAAGATTTGTGTGTTAATGGATTTATCATATAGTATATTGAAGTCCAAATTGCTTCTTTATTTTTTTCTGAACTTATTTCTTTAATCTTTTATTATTATTTTTTTTTGGGTATGAAACTTTCAGATGGGATGTTAGTGAAATTCATAAGCTTCCATGCAATATAAAGACGTGTCTTCTTGCAATGTATAACACTAGCAACGAAATTGGCTATTGGACATTGAAAGAGCGAGGCTTCAACATCATCCCTTATCTAAGCAAAGCGGTAAAACATCACACCAGCCTTTGAATTATCTACTGTTTGTGCTAGAATGCAGTTCTGAAGTTGCTCTCACTTCGACATATTGCTAAAAGGAAAATAGCTAAACTAGAAAGTGTAAATATCATACAAGCCCTACGAGGGACATCGGTTCTAAAATACCCTTCTCTAATTGTCTTCATTTCATATATAAATCCTAGAAATCAACCGCTTCCATGCAAACAATTTTCCATTAAACAAATAGAAAAGTAAAATCATTTATAATACTGTGCACCTAAGCTTCTTTTTTCTTATTCTCTTTTTGTTTGTTTCATGTAGTATTTTAGTATTTTTTTATGTGTAGATTTTATGATCGATGTTANATTTATAATACTGTGCACCTAAGCTTCTTTTTTCTTATTCTCTTTTTGTTTGTTTCAGGTAGTATTTTAGTATTTTTTTATGTGTAGATTTTATGATCGATGTTAATGGGGGGAGAGAGAGAGGGAGAGAGAGAGAGAGAGAGAGAGAGAGAGAGAGAGAGACGTATGTTTTGGGTTTTTTCTTTAGTAATACTGATCAACTACTGCTTGGTGATAAAGGGAGAGAACATATTATTTACGTAAGAGAGAGAGAGAGAGCCCTTCCAGCTCGCTAGATATTTAGGACTTCTATACCAAAAGTTTACGGTATTTACTGTTGACAGTTTCTATGGCTCCAGTGGGCAGATCTGTGCAAAGCATACTTAAAGGAAGCAAAATGGTATCATGGTGGGTATAAGCCAACGTTGGAAGAGTATCTTGCCAATGCAGTGGTTTCCATATCTGGGTCTCTTGTGCTACTTTGTTGTTACTTTCTAACCACAGACAAAATCACAGAAGAGGCATTGAATTACATAGACAAGCTCCCGAGTATCATACGTTGCAGCAGCATGCTTGCTCGACTCACCAATGATTTGGGAACATCATCGGTATGTTTAATTGCTTTTTTGATTGCATCAAGGCTATAATAAGAAAATGATCACGCATTTACTAGTAACAAAGTATTATACATAGTACACAAGACTATTTCTTATAATTGGGTTTGGGTAACCCATTGCACGGACTCCAACTAGTATGTGTTTTAAAAAGGATTAGATGTATGTAATCTTACCCCTCATGCAAAGAAGTCATTTCCCTAAATTGAACACATAATGTTAAATCACAATAGAACAACTTTATAGTGGAAAAGATAAAAGTTACGTAACCTTTGTCTTGTTTTGATGAAGTTTATTCTCAAACTTAATCTATAGGTTATAGATTGGCCACACGTGCTATTGGCCCATGTATGATCTTTACACTTTTGAAAAATATATAATTTTGTTTAAATTGCATGAGTTACTTGTAGGATGAGTTGGCCAGAGGAGACAATCCCAAGTCAATCCAGTGTTATATTAATGAAACCGGTGCATCTGAAGCAATGGCTCGAGAGTACATAAAAAGTTTAATAGATGAAACATGGAAGACCCTGAATGAAGACATGCTCAAGAGGTATCCTTTCTCCGAACCATTTTTAAGTGCTATTCCAAATACTGGTCGGATTTCCCAATGCTTTTACCAACATGGAGATGGACATGGTGTGCCAGACACTTGGACAAGGGATCATCTTATTTCATTACTAGTCAATCCTATTCCTTTCAAAGAGTGGTGAATAAGATTCTTGGCCCATTAGTTGAATGATGTACGTATATATAAATAAAATAATTTAAATCCTTAAGGGATTTATATGATTTCGAAAATCAATTTATGTAAAATTAGAATAAGATTGCTTAGCATGTTTCTTTTGTAAACATCATAAAAGTCTTGTACATTATATAGAACGTGTCGAATTCCGTACTATGAAATCATATTCTTATCCTTATTTACTATGATTGTTTTGATAGCTTTCTTTTGTCTTCATTAGCTGAATAAGATTTGAGCCAATTTTAAGGAAAAGGAAAAAAAAAACCTGTTTGTTTGTTGTTCTATGTTTCATATGCCTGGTAATAGAAAGTGATGCGAGTAAGATGAGAGCACTGGTCCTGCAGTATGAAGATGATACCCTTGTCTCGAGAATGAGATAAGGGTTGCCACTGATCTAGCATAGCCCACCAATGAGCTGCGTGGGTCTATGCCTAGGCCAGGATGTGCCTGTCCAGGAAAAAATGGTGCCCTAATGGGCCTTAAGTAGGCCAGAATCGAGCACTTTACTTTAAGATTTTTTTATGATCGGTCCATTTTAAGAAATTTTTTTGTTTGAAAGTTCAACGACCGTTATTTTATATTTTAAAGAACAATTAAAGTCATAAAAAAAAAAATTTACCCCTAATGACATAATTGGACAGTGACATAAGACAATAACATTAGAAAAATTTAACCATCTTTTGGGTCTTTGACGCATTCTGATGCATTATATAAGCATCTTCCCCACCCTTTCCAGCCTATTGTCTCTCTCTCTCTCTCTCTCTGTATATCATCAACATACGTATCTGAATCAATTCCATTCTTTTTCCTACTAATACCTACTGTGTGGTGAAGTACTGAAATCATTTGGGCTAGAACGGAAGGAGTTAATGGACCTCTGTCCTTCCATGCGGAATGTAATCGCAAACTTAGCGGTTAAGTATTCGGTGACATCGAAATCGGCCTTCTCCAGAGGTCATCCCTCCTCTTCTCCATGTTACTGCAAGATTAAGCTCTAGAACTTCTCAACCTAGTTCTCTACCATACCTTTAACCTTTCAACAAGCCCATTAAATTGATGACAAAATTCACGCTTGTTTCAACATGAATAAAATGTGCAGTAGCCTATAAAATCTGGCCAGGTGTCCACACTATAGCATGACAAAGGGTCACGAGCTAATGTGACAAGGTGGGTTTCGATTGGCAAGGGCCATGACATTACAAAAGACATCGGGTGTATTTGGATAATCGTCAAGGACAAGAATGGCTTGTATCCACCATAGTACCACTTTGCTTCCTTCAAGTACACTTTACAGAGATCTGCCCACTAAAGCAATAAAAACATTTTGCAGTAAATTGTCACAGTAACCAAAACTAAAGGAAAACTTTCATTGTAGAAAATCGTAAGCTCAGTTTGCATGAATTATGAGGTTCTATCATTTTGCTTAGGTAAGGGATGATGTTGAAGTCTCGCTCTTTCAGTGTCCAATACCCAATTTCATTGCTAGTATTGTACATGGCAAGAAGCCATGCTTTTATTTTCTGAGGAAGCTTGTCAATTTCATTAATATCCCATCTTAAGGTTTCAGTGAAAAAAAATTATAGAACTAATTAGCAAAAATAAGAGAAATGAGAAACAAACTATTGATCAGTAGTTATTAAAGATTTTATGTATGTAAATCTAATAAAAAAAGTACAAATCTCCTTATGAACCTGTCAACAAAATCTGTAAAAAGTTTGATTTCTTCTTATGAGCCATAGAGACCATATGCATCATCTATAGTAGTAATTAAACATATTATCTTCGTTGTTATATGTCAAAAGTGTCCATATTATGGTTCAAATATAATACCATTGCACCAAAAGTAGTGTTATACAAGCCTGTCTCTGGCAAAGATGATCTTGTCTAAGCTCATATCCACCCATTAGCTGAGAATTTAATAATTTACGTTCAATTCATTAAAATTGAATGGGAAACTATTTTTAAAAAGATTCATGGAAATGGCATGCAAATGAAAAGTAATTTAATCTAAAATTATTGTGAAACAGATGCATTTTTTGAATACAAAACTAGACTTATACCTTGCTAACTTCTTTCTGATGGATGGCTTGCACTATGTTGTACTCCAACTTAGCCAGTAATAACAAAGTAGGGTTCATGTTGAACCATCTAGCTTCCACTCTTGTCAATCTCCAATGCAAAGGCATATCCAAAGCATGATCTACTTTTCTGGCCAAGCTTGGTGGTATGTCTCCGATGAGATCTTTCAAATGTGTCTTCGTAAAAGTCTTGGCCTAATCAATGATATTTTCACCTTCTAGAACAATAAGAAAGAAGCTTCGTACAAATTCAGCAGTCCCTCCACATCCTCAAAAAGGTTTCTTTTGAAATTACCTGTCTCATCCCTAAACCTTTCAAACACACCTGTTTCCAAAAAAAGTTATGGAAAACATTAATTTTTAACACAACTTATTTCTTTAGCAAATCGAGTGCTATTCCATAAAGATCATCACTTAACCATGCATCATTGCTATGTTTATAGACAATATCTAGGGCTTTTTTTAATCTGTATCTCAAATTGATGCTTCAATCCTAGTCTTTGAATGGTATCAATTAACTCGAGCTTGGCTAATGGGTCCTTCACTTCATCAATGAGGCACTGCACCTCATTTTTTAGTTTATCAGATTGTCCAGCATATTGCTCTTCCTGTTGGTCAGCAAAAGATACATGTAAGTAATAAAATAAATATGTCCAATGGAGGTTAAAATAAACAATACTAGGTTTGTTTCCGTATGTACAGTGTAATCACTGGTAAGTGACTGCATGAAATCATAGTCCCAAACACTTTGAAAGTAATTTGCTGATCGTCGAGCTATCATGTGTTCATCGATAGTTATGCCATTGGAAAGACAGCCAATAGGTTTTAATGTACAAACTGTAGGAAGATTTTTGTGTGAAAGAAGAAGGGAAAGGGGGATTGTAGAGACTGGTAAAGGTGATAAGAGAGCTTGAATAGCCAGTCCTCTTGTTTGACTATTTGAAGACCAATTCCAATCTACACAATCGTGTATGTTTAAACAAAGTTCCAGTAGGTGGAAATATGCATCGGGAAGTTGGATTCGATTACAACAATGCCTCTGATGATTTCTGCGGTTTACACGAGAAAGTGGTGTAGATTATGACCAATCACACGCCAACGCAAGTGCCCAAAGAAATATGAATATTCTGTTTAGGTCAATGTATTTCGTGCCGAATATTATATCAAATACAATATTCGTTGGATACATATCAGNTTCTCTAATCAAATCAGATGGCCAATAGCTGTTGCTTTGAATGAATTGAAGGCAGCAGCTGAACAGTCACGTGAACAGTGACTATTCCAGCTGCTGCATCCAGCTGAGGGATACAATAGCTGCTGCCAATACCAAACAAATCTTGAGCTGCGAGCTGGAGCTTGGAGCTGTTGAATTGGAGCTTAGAGTTGATGCAAAAGGTGGGAACCTGAGTGAGCTTGAAGACATTGACTCTTAGCTAAAAATAAGNATTAAGTATCCGATAGTTGGATATGAGTATCCAAGATTAATATACTTCGGATATAGATGTGAATATCTATAATATAAATCAGGTTAGAATTCAATAAACTTATTCGACAGTTTTAAATAGACTCATTTAACGATCACCAACATTCCACTCAAAATCATTCATATTGCATTGTGCTTTCAGACACAAACTATCCCTAGTATACAACAATATATATAAATTTTAAAATTTAACCTTTACCATTTCCTCTCAAATTTAAATGCAATAATTTAAATGAATATTTCTCTGGTANAGCAGTTCATGAGGGCTTTCATATGGAGGGGAGTGGAGTGGGCATCAAAAGGCTCAGGTAGATGAATATTTCTCTGGTATTGAAAGACTGATGGAAGCTGTTCATTGATAAGGAAAATTTGTGGTCCAAATGGGTTCACACTTACCATTTAAGGGGAAGAAACCTATGGGAGATCAAAGCTACTCCAACTAGCTCATGGATATGACAGACTCTACTGAAGCCGAGGGGAGTTATTAGACCACTCATTTGGCATAGAGTTGGCAATGGGCATGATAATTGGCATCCTAGTGAACCACTTAGCTCAAGTTGGGGACATATAATCAACCAGGTTCCAGATTTTAACCTCATTCCAAAGTCAATACCATTGTTTTTGGTAATCAGTGGGTGTGGCCAGATAGCTTTGCAGCCTTAACACAGGGGATTGGGGCATCTATACCTTAGTATACACCCAACCTGCAGGCAGAGGACACTGTGAGCTGGGTGTTAGGACCTAATGGTAAATTTTCCACAGCTTCAGCTTGGAACTACATCAGGGATGTAGGACAACATGTGACTTGGCACAAACTAGTCTGGTTTGGCCAGGCCATCCCTAGGATGAGCTTTTATACTTTGGTTGACAATTAGGCAAAGATTAAGCACCAAGGAAAGGATAGGATCCAGTGCTATGCAAACCAGATTGGAACGCAATGTATTCTATGCAGGCAAAGCTTTGAAACACACTCACATTTATTCTTTGAATGTTCTTTTGCTGATAGAATTTGGAGGATTATTATGAGCCATAGCCACATACAATGGAGATCAAGAACCTGGACAGAACTCGTTGTCTGGGCTGCACAGAATGTTTTTTTTTTTTTTATCTAATTACAACACAAAAGGAATTAAAAAATTCTAATGCATGATTTTACATGGAATACTAAAAAATATTCTAGAAAGCATAATTCTCTAATCAAATCAGATGGCCAATAGCTGTTGCTTTGAATGAATTGAAGGCAGCAGCTGAACAGTCACGTGAACAGTGACTATTCCAGCTGCTGCATCCAGCTGAGGGATACAATAGCTGCTGCCAATAGCAAACAAATCTTGAGCTGCGAGCTGGAGCTTGGAGCTGTTGAATTGGAGCTTAGAGTTGATGCAAAAGGTGGGAACCTGAGTGAGC